TGTAGCCAAGATTAAGTAGACCTATCACAAGTTATGTCAGATAAGAGTATTAGAAGTAGGGATTGATAAAAAATCTTTTTATGGCAAAGGTTGTACTTAGGTATTCAAATCATTCTGTCTATAGTTATCTCTTCCACATCACAGGATAGTGCCCCTGTAATCAGCAAAATCTGTGTAAAATTTTTTGACCCTCCTTTCATACCAGAGAAGAAAACTGAAGTATCATGGGTTAAAAGATAAAATATGTTGACATCATATAATACCATAATACACTTTATGCATTTTTGAGTTTCTAAACTTTTTCTGTGTCACCTACTGATTTTTGCATGTCATCTGTGGCTTCTGTAAAACTTCCCCCAAATTCCCATTTAATTTCTGATGCCACCCTGTGATGTATCAAAACAGTGATGGGGAAAGTCGCAATGTGAATGGGATAACTATCTCCTCTTCTCATTTGGGAAAATATCTGGTCCGGGGTGGAGAACTGGTTTGGATTGAATCAAAGAGCCACACTTGAGGACCTAGGGGGCTGCATGTGGCCTCAAGGCCACAGGTTCCTCACCCTTGGGTCTAATCCACAGTTTCTGTCTGTTCCATTTTCATTGAAAAAAATACTAACATCACTTGTACTTGCATCCATTTCCTCACTTTTCAACACTCTGCAATCTAACTTCCATTCTTGCTACTTTACTGACTTCTTTGACGTGTGGTAATTGGAGCTGCATACTTACATTTCAACCTTAGACACCCAGGAAGAAAATATATTTTCAAAATTCAAAAGTCACTTTTCTAGTTCTGTGTCTAAAGTAAGTGTCTATTTAAATAAACCATGGGATATGTGAAAGAGTGAGAGATATACTTCAGTGTGGGTGTGAAAAAGGAATACCCTAGAGATTTTCTTGGGGTGAGAGTGGGGAGATCATTCAGTTTTTAAAATGGCAGGTGGCAAAGAGCTTTTTGGGATAATTTCTAGTCCAAAAGTGTGAGGGTCCAATGCAGGAAGCGTCTTTTAAATACGCAGTCGGTTTATGGCAATGCTCTTCGTTGGAGGATGGATTGCTTAGGAATACAAAAAAATAAACTTTTCATCTCCTTTATATCACTGTACAAAGGCTTGTTCCTTTTGGAAGGGTTGGGTTTTTACGTGACAGTGGGGGCTTGAGGACTTGGAAAAGGCCACATCTTTTTTGTCGGGTGAGATATTAAGATAAATCCAGGTGAGGTGAAAGGGGAGAAAGATATGGGACAAAGATGAGGCCTGATTTGTAAAACAAAAAATACCTAAAAAACACCTGGTTTCAAGGAACATGGTAGATATATTACAGAGAAAGGACAATCCTCTTCCTGGTGGCTCGCTAGGTGATACAAGGATGTTACCTGGCCACTGTCTTAAGAAACAGGTAGGCCTTTGGAGTATTCAAAGTTGGTCTCTTCACCAGGAAGCTTTGGGAATACACCCTTCTTAGTCTTGAAGAACAGAGATACTCGGCTTAGTGGGCATAGATAGTGTCATTGGTGATGTAAAGGTCTCTTAGTCCAAGAATTTTCAGGACCTCTGAGTTCACAGGTAAACCTGGTTGCCTCTAACAAGCAACTCATTCCTCCTGACATTCTTAGGATGGGGGGCGGTGCTGTATAGTAGAATACCTTCTCTTCTCTCATTTTCTCTTCCCACTTTTAATACATCTTTAGACTTACATGGGTCTATTTTGCATCAGCAATTTCTTGTCTCTTCAAGACATTTCGCTAAAGTCAAATTCAGGTATTGTCTCGGGCTCTTGTTTCCTTCATGTAATCTGGCAAGTTCTTCCTCCTTCTGCAGCAGGTGTCTTGGAGCTGCTCATTTCTGGAGATCTGTGAGGACAGTTAATTCTCTCCTCCAGCATCATCTTCTGGGGCCGAGAAATTCAATTCATTGCCTCCTTCCTATGTCCATAGTTCTTGTGGATACTCTCTGTTATGCAGAGGACAAGCAACCCAGAAGGAGACCCACATCTCCCTAGAAATGTCAACACTGGATTCTGATATCGAGGTAGAATGGGAGCAATTACAGTTAAATCTCTATTACAGCGAATAATGAATTCTGTGGAGTGGTCATTGTATTTGATTTACCCAGCATGTGTCCATTAGGCTGGGACCAATTACACATTTTTCATAATTATAACTTTAAATAATGTACATTCAAATACCCCTGCCTACTTCATGGGATTCATTATTCACACCAATCAAGACCTAGGTGTAAAGTGCTGCTCTTGGCATGCTCAACTGTTGTTCGTTCATCTTGCTGGGGCAATGAGAAAGGCAGCCAGGAGAGCCTATTTCCATAAATAGCTTCTTAATTGCAAAATCCACTGACATTTGCTTGGTCTTCATGCTTCTTGACTTCCTTGCATCATTTAACTCCGTTGATTACCACTCCATCCTGTGTATGTTCTCTGTATTCCTATGATGCTCCTCTCCGGGTACTCCTATCTGTCCAATTGCTTTTTTCCCTCAATTTCCATTGCTTGTTCATTGTCATCCTTCTACCCTGTAAGTGTGGGCATCCTTCAGAGGCTTCATCCTATACTTCATTCAAATATAGTGGCTGAGTGTTGGACTTGAAGTCAGGAAGATCTGAGTTCAGACCCTGCTTCAGACACAAGCTGTGTGACCCTGGGTAAATCAATTAACCTCTTTCAGGATCAGTGTCTTCACCTGTAAAATGGGGATATATAAAGAACACAAACAGAAGCAGAGCATCTCCCACTGTCTACTAGAAATCTTCACCTGGTACCTTAAACTTAACACTGTCAAAAAATGAACTCATCATCTTTCCAAACCTGCGCCTCTTTTAAGTTTCTTTATTTCTAATGAAAGCATTACCATTCTCTCAGTCATCCCAATTCAAAATTTCAAAGTTTTCTTTGATTTCCTGGCTGCTTTGGCTCCTACATCCAATTTGTTTCCACATACTGTCAAATCGACCTCCGTACCAGCAATCTAATGTACATCTTTCTCTCCAGTCATAGTTCTACCATCATAGATCAGGATGTCATTGTACCCTGCCTGGACTATTGTAACAGCATCCTAATCACTATCCCCATCTCCAATCTCCCTTGTTCCAATCCATCCTTTACCCATACATCAAAACAATCTTCATAACGTGCAGGCCAGGGAGCATTTCTTTCTTACTCAAAACCTTCCAGTTGTTCCTCATTAACATTAGGACAAAATACAGACATTGCAACTTCATATTCAAAGCCATTCCCAGTCTGCCTCCAATTTATCTTTACATTAATATTTCTGTCAAATTCCCTTTGCACACTCCATATTCCAATCCAATTGGATCAGTTGCTTTTCCCTTGTGTCATTCTACCTGCCCCTCTGCATTTGCTCAGGCCAGCTCATCACTTTCTTCATTTGTCAAAACTTTCTTTCAAGGGTCCCCTCTGGTGCTATGTCCTCCATAAAGACTTCCTTGACTCATGATGAAAAATACTATCCACCTCTAGAGAAAGAGCTGATAGAGTCTGAATGCAGATCAAAGCATACTCTTTCTCACTTTATTTTTTGTGTGTTTATTTTTAGTGGTTGTGTTGTTTGTGTCTTCTTTCACAGCATGACTAATATGGTAATATGTTTTGCATGATTGCACATGTATAACCCATGTCAAATTGCCTACCATTTCAGGGAGGGGGTGGGAAGAAGGAAGAGAATTTGGAACTCAAAACAGAAAAAAAAATGAACACTAAAAATTGTTTTTACACGTAATTGGGAAAAAATAAAATGTTATTAAAGGAAAAAAAAAGACTTTCTTGATGCCTCAATAGAATTTTAGACTTAGAGCTGGAAGGGACCTTAGTATTCTTATAATCCACACTCCTTACTCCTATAGATAAAGAAACTGACTGGTCTAAGGTCACATAAGTAGTAAATGGCAAAACCAGGACTTGAACTAAAATAGTCCGACTTCAAATCCAAAACTCTTCTCAGTTTACCATACTGCTGTTTCTACCTCCCTGAATTTTCTTACAACACTCTCTTTGGAGCCCTTTGCTTGTACTTATTAAACTGGACTTCACATTATGTTTGTTTGCATGCCTCCTAACCCCCCCTGATAGTAGTAATGGCTGACACTCATAGAACACATTTGCAAGCTTAAAGAGTTTTCTATAACTTCTTTTTCAATCCTCAGAGCTACCCTGTAGTGCAGGTCCTACAAGTATCATCATCCCCATTTTCCAGAAAATGAAACTGAAGGAGCTGAAAATATTTGCCCAAGATTATTCCTCGAGTAAATGACAGAGCCAGAATCAAGCCCAGACCTCTTGGATCTAAACCAGTGTTAATTCTGCCATATCACAGCAACTTTTCTACTAAGATTTAAACTCCTCCAGGGCAGATGCTACATATTTATTTTTCTTAATCATTGCATCCCCAATGTATGGTGTGGTTACCTGCATGTAATTAGTACTTAATGTCTGTTGAATTGAATTAATTTGAATTGAATTGAATTGAATCTTGATTGAATTGAATCTTGGTCTCACATGTGCTAGATGGGGTGACTGGCAGAAAGCAGTTGTAGAAGAGGAAGCATATTTTCCCTCTTGGCTGAGTAGAAAAATATCTGCTAGAGTTAGCTAGGTGGCACAGTGGATAAAGCTCTGGGCCTGGAATCAGGAAGATCTGATTTCAAATCTGACCTCTGACTCTTACTAACTGTGTGACCCTGGGCAAGTCACTTAACTTCTTTCTGCCTCAACTGTAAAATGGGGATAATAATAGTACCTACCATGCAGGGTTGTTGTGTAGATCAAATGAGATACTTGTAAAACACTTAGTACAGAGTCTGACACATAGTAGGTGCTTAATAAGTATTGTTTTCCCTTCCTTTCTTTTGCTCTCTTCTCCTTTTCCCTTCCCTCTGTGTGGGCTTCCCTGCCCTGGGTTTCAGTTGGGTTGAACTAAATGTTGGAAGTCCTCTCTACCGCTAACATTTTAGGATTCTTTGGTTGCAGGTATTCCTTTCAAGACGAAGAAGACATGTTCATGGTGGTCGATTTGCTTCTGGGAGGGGATCTCCGTTACCACCTACAACAAAACGTGCATTTCAGTGAAGGAACTGTGAAACTCTATATCTGTGAGCTGGCCCTTTCCCTTGACTACCTGCAGAGATACCATATAATCCACAGGTAAGCCAAGTGTGGCTAATTTGGGAATGAGCGGAAGAGGTCACTGCAATAAGATGAGCTTTCTTTCCTGTTTCTAGGTGTTTTGTGGAAGGGATGAGAAAAATCTTCTATACTGAGGTAGAATGGGCATTAGGCTCTTATGCTATTCACTAGCTAAGGAATGAAAAGCTTTTTCCCTCTGTGATATGAAAGTTAAAAATTGATGATTGCTTCATGGTGACTTTTTTATTCTTGGGAATGTTATTTGATTAGATCTAAGATCCAAGTTCCAACATGTCCTGTGCTCCCATAATGCTTTCCTGCCTTCATAAAATTATAAAATAAATGGAGTTAGGATTGGATGGGACCTTAGAGATCATCCAGTCCAACCACACCGTTCTATAGAGAAGGAAACCAAAGGCCAGAGAGGGCAACTTACTCTCCAAATCAATTGAAAAGCCAAGATCTGAAGCCAAATCATAGGATTAGAGAGTTAGAGGTAGAAGGGACCTCAGATGCTACCCAGGCCACCCTTCCTCATTATACAGATGAAGAAGTTGAGACTTTAGGATGTTAAAAGTGTCCCAACTAGTACACGTCAGAGGAGAAATTTGAACCATAGTCTCCCTGTCTTGAAGTCCAGCAGTCTACCCACTCCACTATACTCTCTAGTCTCTTTGATTAGATATTTTTAATGTAAAGGACTTAGTGACAATACTTGCTCATGTTCAGTTGTTCTCATTTGTGTCTGACTCTTTTTGACTCCATTTTGGAGTTTTCTTGGCAAAGATACTAGAGAGGTTTTCCATTTCCCTCTCCAGCTGATTTTACAGATGAGGAAAATAAGGCAAACAGGGTTAAGTGACTTGCCAAGGGTGACACAGCTAGTGTCTAAGGTTAGATTTGAACTCTGAAAGAGGAGTCTTCCTGACTCCAGGTCCAGCATTCTATCTACTGCACTGCCTATTTGTTTTGAAATTTGAAAGGTAAAAGGATTAGCTATGTTTAACTTGACCCCAGATAGCAGAACTAAGAACTTTGGGTAGGGGCTACAGTGAGACAGATTTTGGCTCATTGTAAAGAGAAACTCCCCAGCAATGATAGGCTACCCTAAAGTGAGCTATATATCCTCAGTAAACCCATTTTTCTGAGATGATATAGTAGGGATTGACGTTTGAATACAAGTTGGACAAGATGACCTCTGACGTCCTGGTGCATGGCCGTTCATTGTGAATGGGAAGAATCACCATGTTTATTTATTTAAATAGGCTGGTTTTAGTTGTCAATGGTTAAAAGATTCAGTGAACAATGAACAGAATCATATATTTCCAAGATCAGAAAAAAAATTTCATGTAACACATGAATCCTTTCTATAACATCTCTAAGTGGTCAACCACCCTGGGCTTGAAGAACTCTAATGATGGGAGATGCCTTGGTTCCACAGTTTTAGGAAAGGCATTGAGAAGCTGGAACATGTTGAGAGAAGGGTGATAAAGGGATGATGAAGGGCCCTGAGCTTATCTGATGTAAGGATTGGTTCATGTTGCCAGGGAAGGCTATCCTAGACAAGTGTAGGTTGAGGGAAGATATGAAAGCTATCTTCAAGCATCTGAAAGGCAGTCTTATGGAAGAGGGATAGACTTGTTCTGCTTGGCCTCAGAGGGCAGAAACAGCAATCATGGGGTGAAAGCTGCAAAAGGGAAGCTTATGTTTGATTTAGGGGAAAAAAACCACAAACTTTCCCCAAATTAGGGCTATCCAGATGTAGACTGTGCTCTTCTAGGAAGCAGTAAGTACCTCTCTAATGGACTACATGCAAACCTAGGTGACAACTTGTCAACTCTGTTGTAGAGAGAATTCCTGATGAATTGCTAAACTATGTTGGTGGGGGGAGTTTCCACACCAGATGATTCCCCAGCTGTCAATTTAAGCCAATTCCAGCCCCTACTGCCTCACCTACCTCCTATTTATCCCTTAGGCTTACACCTGGTTTTCTGATCACTTACCTTCCTATTTTAGTGTGCATTAGTAACTTGGTTCTCCACCCATAGCTTCCTTCCCTGACAGCTTAGCACAGATAGATTCCTTGGAGGTCGATCCTGTCTTAATATAAAGGACACTGGTCCTGGAGTCAGCTAGCAGATCTGAGAGTGGTTTTAGGGAAGTCTTTTAGCTTCTGGGAGGTTCAGTTTTCTCTTCTATAAAAAGGAAGTAATGATGCTTGCTGCCCATGTCAGAGAGGTACTGAGGGCATTAAACAAGATAACCATTTCTAGAGGCATTTTGTAATCTCTGAATTGCTAAATAAATGTATATCCAACAATAAAATCCCATTCAAATACTAAGTAAGACTAACTTTGTACAAAACACTATGCTTAATATCAGAAATCCAAGAGACAAAAACAAAATCAGCCCCTGAGGTGACATTTTATATTAATTACATTGATATAAATTATATAAAACAACTTTAATAATGAATAATAGTAGCTTATATTTGTATATAATGCTTTTAAGTTTGAAAAGGGCCTTACAAATATTATCTCATATGATCTCCATAACAACCCTGGGAAGTAGGTGCTATTGTTATCCCCATTTTACAGATGATAAAATTGAGGTAAACAGAGGTCATGTCACTGTCCAAGGTTATACAACTGAGAAGTGTCTGGGTCATGTTTGAACTCAGGTCCTCCTAACTCCAGAGCCAATGCTTTGTCCTCTGTAATCACCTAGCTGACTCTAGCAGGGGACTTTCTATTATGTCAAAAGGGAAAAGATGCTTCCTCTTCTTCTGGCAAAACCCCTCTACTTTCTACCAGTCACCCTGAGATACCTCATATTACTGATGTTATTCTTGTCATTGTTCCTGAATCCCCTAATTCCAAGTCCAGCGTGCTTTGTATTACCCTACACTGCCTCCCTTGATCATCCTGACCAGATTCAGATCTATCATCTGTGATTTCCCCTGCTCTGGGAGTGCCCGTTTATAACAGCTACATCATCAAATTCATACCAAAGTAGATTTGGAGAGGAAATTCTAAATTGCTTGGAAAGCAGTGGCTATGAATACCTTAAGGCCAAAGAAAGATTGTAGAAGATGATAGCTCTGCCACTGTGATATTTTTTCTCCAGTTTTCAACAAATATTTCAAGGCATTTCTTAAGAGTCTTTCTATTTAACACATGTGCCATTTGCCCTGAAGCTCTGGTTTTCATCTGAGAAAAAAATCTCAGGGAGAAATTTAGGTATCTAATTGTCTGTACATTTTAAAAGTGGATAGGGTCCCTTGTATAGAATACTTGTAAAATGATTTCCTTGCAAGGGGCTTTCACAAATCATAGGATCATAGCTGTAGAACTAAAAGGGACCACAGAGGTTACTTAGTCCAACTCTCTCATGGTTAAATACAAGGAAATTGAGACTTAGGCAAGTTAAGTTACTTGCCCAGAGGTGCATGGGTATCAGAAGCAGAATTTGAACCCAGGTCAAGACATTCAGAGGAGCCTATTGCATCTAAGCTGTTTAGCCTTGTCCTATATCCCTTTAATCTCTTGTCATGGAGGATCCCTTATTTCTATAGATTTTTTTTTCTACTCTTCATTTGTGTTAGAATCATTAATCTTAAAGCTGGAAAGACCTTGGAGGTCAGCGAGTTAGACACTAACCTGAACTACAGGTTACCTGTCCTGGCACTACTCCCCAATAAAAACTCCCATGACCCTAACACTTTGAAGTTTACAAAGCTCTTTCCTCACAGTCATGCTATAGGGCAGGTAGTATATTGTGTTTCCCATTTTAAATCTTGGGAATCATGCTCCTTATGGTTCAATGGCACATTCAGACAGCCTGAAGCTGCACAGCATACAGTTAAGAAGTGTCAGAACCAGGATACCAATCCAGTGCTCTTGACTCTGTGTCCAGAGGTCTTTCTACTACAACACACTTTCAAGGCAAGTCCTTTATCAATCAGAAATTGTTTTTTTATAAATTTGAAACAGTTCCCTATACATTATAGAAGTGAGACTTTTATCAGAAAGACTTGCTACAAACACTTTTTCTCATCAAACTGCTTCTCTTTTCATTTTAGCTGTATTAGTTTTATTTGTGCAAAATCTTTCCAATTTTATGTAATAAAAATTGTCCGTTTTACCTAATGTGATCCCCTTTATCCCTTGTTTTGTCATGAATTCTTCTTTTATACATAGATCTGATTGGTAATTTCTTCCCTGATACTCTATTTTGTTTGGAGCTTACTCATTTGGAGCTTAACTTGGTATATGTTATAAGATTTTGGTCAATATCTGGTATTTCCCAGACCTTTCCAGTCAATGTTTATCAAAAGTCTTTTTTTTTAAACTCTAACAGTCTTCAGTGGTATTACATAGTTGTGAGTTACGGAATACTATGAACTCTGAAGTTGAGGATCACCCAAAGGGAATGTAGAAATCACATGGTTGATGTGAACTGGCTTTCAAGTAGGAGAAGGGGCTGTGGAGAGCAAGAAAGAGATAAAAAGTGGGTTAAAAGTTCTCCTGGAACCAGCAGTTAGTACAGATACAGAAGAAGATAATCTGTCCCTCATCATTTGGGCAAAGCTACCAGGTATGATTATGCTACTCCATCATGACCACAGTTGGAACCAGACTTGTCAGTCTCTGGACCCCAGAATTCAGGCTATTCTGATACCAACAAAGAAGCTGTTCTCAATTTGCAGAACACAACTGAAGTCTTCACCACCTTCCCTTTGAACTCCTACACATCTATGGAAAAATCATATCTGGACAAGTATCTATATCCAAAATTCCAACAAGAAAAAAATGAAACCAAATTCAGGGCTAAAGTCCAAAGCTGATAGGAAGCTGAAGAAGCTGACAGGGGAGGAAGTCCCTGGCAAAGAACACAACAGTGGTTGTCCAGGCTTCAAGTACACAAAGCTACCATCGAACTCTAGTTCTGAGGGAGGAGTCAGAGAGATCAGCACAGGAGGTTGGCCTGAGAGGTCTGCTCACTGCTTTTTCTAAGAG